ATATCCAACTTTATTTGCATATAAACTACATATATCTCAGATTTTTCATTTAGTCACAAATTGTAGCTATATTATCGCCCAGCTCTATATACAAAGTTGAATAATATAACATCATGATAATCTTTAAAACTTTATTTGCTTGCTTGATTTTTGTGATGGCAATGCTATTTTTTGAAGGTTTACTATTAATAAGGACATTTTCATGGGAAATATCCATCTCTACTATAGACCAGCTACTCATACATGTGCTACAGTCACAATCAGCCATGCGTGAACAGGGAAGCTCCTTTTATCTAAAGCAAACACAGTGCAGGAACACTGTGTTTTACACAAGCAGCTCCGAACTGTTCTTCAGACTCCCCTTTATCTGCAGAGAAAATGATGGCTTCTATTTATAGAAAGCTTGTGCTCTTCTGTTTGGCTAGTGAAGCACCTCTGTCAGCAATCTTGAAAACCTTAGTATTCTGTAGGTAGTAGGTGTAGTATTCAAATGAGATGTTGGATGAAGAGATTGTCTTCATGATTCTCATTTTAAAAAGTGTTTCTAGGGGGTTGCTACGGTGTTTTGGAAGGTTGCTAGGTAGCTTACTGGCCCAAATCTGAAAATCCCTAGATATGACTTCACTGTTATAGGCATTCCAATTCACAATAAATTGACCATAAAGTTATTGTCCAATATTAGCACTGGATTGGTCTGAATTGGCTGATACTGGAAGCAGATAATGTCAGTACATTGGAGCTTACACATTGGAACATTAGATTTTAGTATAGATGTACCATCACGCTAGTAAGTGACTATTGCGTAAAAAGATTTATTGGCTATTGCTACATCAATATATTAAATAAAAAAAGAAAGAAAGAGTAAGTGCCAACATATAAATAGGTTTAGAGCAGATTTTAAGAAAATCAAAGAGATATGTGCAACACTTTTTCAGCTAGAGTGGCCCAGAGTCAGACCAAGAAGATTAACTAGAATATGATAAGATATGACTTCTCAACAATCATTAACCTTGTTACTTCACAGATGTCTTTACCGTGTCAGAACATAATGTCCCAAGTCTATTTTCGATTTTCAGAGAAGGATTTTGAACAGTTAAGCACTGCTGGTAATATAAGGAAAAGCAGTTAATGACATTAAAGGGGTCCTATTATGCTCTTTTACAAAGTCTTGATTTTGTTTTGGGGGTGTACTAGAACAGGCTCTCATACTAGGTTGTTCGAAAAACACATTATTTTTCACATATTTTACATTATTACAACACCTCTCTCCTCAGTCTGGCATGAACGGCTCAAATAATTCCTGTATCAAATGAAGGCCCGCCTTCTGAAATACGAAATGCGCTGTGATTGGTTAGCTAGGCCAGTGTGTGTTGTGATTGGTTAGCTGGGCCAGTGTGTGTTGTGATTGGCTCCACTCGGCGCCTGCTTGGGAAATGTCACGCCCCTTACCATAGCCGACTAACTAAAGTTGAAAAAGTGAAATAGCATAATAGGACCCCTTTAACTCATAAAAGTGAAGAGCAGAGAGATTGATAATGGTGAGCTGACATCTGAAACATTACTACTCTGACTGATTAAATTATCATTATAGTCATCATTAAGTATGATTGTGCTTCTAGGCTAAATGTTACATGATGTGATTACTATCTCTGCCAGCTTATAGGAATGATAGATGAGATCTCTTCAAAGTCTCTATTGTTTAGAAAGGAAAATGATTAAATTGAGACTGGAAGATTCTGGGGGGTTTTTTCTCCTGAAAAAAGACCCCAGACCAAATTGCTCATGAAATTCAAATCATCTGAACTATTGTATCTACTTAAATCCTAATATTATATCTATTAAACTGCTGTACTCTAATTTTATGTCTGCAATTGTCTGAAAAACATCTGAGATTGATACATAAACTGAAGTCTATTAAGTCTTCAGAGCTATAAAAGAGCAACCTTTAAGCAATAAAAAGCCTTATTTATTTGCATAAACTATTTTGAGATGAAAAAACGATTCGAGTATGACATCAACAAAAAGTAGAAACCACATATTCTGTTACACCAAATACACAAAATAATGATCTTTAAAAAAGCATCATATGACCCCTTTAAATTATCTTAGAGCAAAATAATATTTTTCCAGGCACAGACTGGAAAAATCCCCAGCAACATTAAATGGAATACTAATAAACATAAATGAATGTATTTGTTTCCGAGAGAAACGACGCGCACACAGCTGTCATGTATAGCGACTGAATGATTCATTTCTTGTCAGTGATTCAGAACTGGTTCACTGAACCTGTCTGAGTGATTCTCCAGAGGATTTGACTTATAGTGTCAAAGTTACTTTAACAGCTAAACAGAAGAAATGAAACACATAAAACGTACTGAAAATATATTTATGACTTGATTTTATATAACCTGTTTAAATATATTTATGACGTAATTTTACGGAAGATTTACCAATAATCAAAAATTATGTACAATGTACTTTTTGTGTTCATATTGTATTGCAAAACACTTTTGCTGCTATTAAGGTGGGATACGGGTAAGGTTAGGGACAGGTTTGTTGGTATGGGTAGGTTTAAGGGTGGGTTAAGGTGTAAGGGATGGGTCAACTGTGTAATTATAAATGTAATTACAGAAATTAATTACAGATGTAATTACATGCAGGTATTTTTAAAATATAAGTACAATGTAAAAACATGTATGTACACAATAAGTGCATTGTACCAAATTATTAATTTAAATGTAAGTACATAGTTGTTAAGGCCACTTAATATAAAGTGGGTCCGTGGAGATCAAAATTTGAGAACAATCTATAAATATTAGATTTTTTTTTCTGAAATATTGTTAATCTTCATCGTTCAAAATTTCACAGTTCTACTAACATGTTTGACAAAATATGTAATAAAAAACCTTTATTTTGTGGAAAACAGTGATCAAAATTAGAGAAAGATGATTGCAACTAAAAGTTTGGAGGGTTACAGCTGTCAGAAATTAGTAGTAGAATTAATGACTTCAGCACATCTGTGGCCGCAGGACATCACTAGTTTCTCAGACTGTGCTGGTGTGATCTTGGTCAACTCTTCTTCCAGTCTCTTCCATAGTTCCGTAACTGTAGTAGGTTTCTTAGCCATAACTTTTCACCAAGGATTTTCCAGAGATTTTCAGTTGGGTTTAGGCCATTTCATTATTTCAATGTTCTTAGCTTCCAGGAGCTGCTTTACCCGTTTTGCAGTGAGGCGGGGAGCATTGTCTTGCATGAAAATTGCTGGCTGATTGGGAGATGCTCGCAGGGAAGGTACCGCATGTTGCTGAAGGAGGTTCTGATAAACATTTGCATTCACCTTCCATGTATCTGTATAAGAAGCTCAACTCCTGCTGAAAAAAACATCCCACAAACCATGACACTTCCTCCTCCACCTTTCACTGACTTGGCCTTCAGTCTTTCCTCAGTCTGACGCCGAAGAAAATGTTTCCCATCAGACTCAAATAAATTAAACTTGCTCTCATCACTAAAGTGAACTTTGGACCAGTTCTCCTCTCTCCACACAACATGCTCGCCAGCAAAAGTGAGTCTAGCCTTTTGATTCTTTCTGCTGATGAGAGGCTTGGTCACTGAAGAGTGCGCTTTTAGTCCGACTTCTCTTAAACATGCAGAGACAGATCCTTACCCTGATCAGCACTGAACTGGCGAGCAATTCCAGCTGCAGTGTTGAACCGATTCCGCATTGAGAGTCTCTGCATTATCCTTTCTTTTCCTGCATTTTTCTTACGAGGACGACCAGCCTTTTTGGGGAACTTGAATTAATTAATGTCATTGTAAACCTGCAATATTCAAGAAATCCAAGATTTAGAATGGCCAACTTCTCGTGCAGTGGCTGAAAGGGTCATCCCTTTGGCCTTCATCTGGACAACCTCCTGTCGCAGGGTTTCAGTCACCTTAGAGCAGCCCGCCATCTTGCAATCTCAGTGAAAATTTGAGGAATGCTGCCAGTTAAATAGGGTCTGTCACATAATTAAGGAAATTAGCACCAGGTACCAGATTAACACCAATAACTTGGAGGGATCTGTACGTGTTCTCTAATTTTGATCTGAGTTCTTTTTCAAATATCTCATTTAAGTTTTTTTATACTGTGCTTCAGAATACAATTTGTGAAATATGCTTAAAAAACCTCCCTTCTACTGCTGTTACAAGGATAACTTCATATAGGAGGACTAAGCAGTGACCTTGAAAGTTTGGAAATTCTAGGTTGTTCTCTAATTTTGATATCCAATGTGCGTGTATGATGGTATATATATATTAGACTTGTGCCGGTATTCGGTAATGCGATATATCACGGTAATGAATATGCACGATATTGTTATCCTGGGCACTTCTAAATACCGTGAATAATTATATATTACAAATTATTTAGAATTTTGAATGCATTTTAAGAATACTTTTCCCATCAACTGGTCAAAATGCACAACACCGCCGTATGCTGCATGAAAGATGCGTGCGCACTCTGACCTAAACAAGCACGGACGAGAAGCGCATGGCGGAACAAATAAGGCATTAAAAGAATCACTGAATCAGTTTTTTTAATCCGGTTCATAAAAGAACTGTTCGAAAGAACCGATTTGAGGAATGAGTTCCCCACTACAATCATGACGTCACGATGCGTCATGACAAAATAATATTGAATAATCTATTCAACGCCTTTATATGTGAGTCGTGTAACATTTCTTCTAGTTATGCTGCAAACTGTTTCAGCTAAAATCGTCAAAATATCTAATGGTATGAAGAGGAAAGTTGTTCTGAGCGGCAGTCTGATCTCAAACCGGGCTGCACCAGTCTGGACCAACCATCGTTATCCCTTATGAAACTCTTATATCTGTGACACTGATAAAAAAAAAACTATCGATACACACTGTCAACATCCGATTGACAAATGTAAATGCTGAAATAAGGAAACAGTTGTCTTCTGTAATCGTAAGATCAGTGGGTTGTTTAGCGAATCCTCTTACCTTGTCTGACTTGGGTTTATTCTGCAGCAGCTGTTCCAGATAGAGATCGGAGAGAGCCGTTCGCGCGCTGTTGACACGCTCCAGAATGACAGCAGGTTCGTTTTTATTGGAATTTAATATCATGTTTCACAGTTAGAGGGGGAGGGAAAAAAGGAAAATAGTCTAGACCGAGTTGGGTCTGCTCAAGGTCCGAAAGGGGTTGGCCAGAAGAGCGATACGGCGTGATAAGAAAGCTTGAGATAGTTGAAAATAAAAGGTTGAGGGATTCGGGCTCGAAGTCCAGAGTTTGTGCAAGAGACAAGAGACACAGCTGACAAAGCACATAAACATTAGTGTGAGGAGGGGGCTGGCACACTGCAGCTTCCCTTTAGAGTGCGCACTTACGTAGTTACTATCCCTGACAAAACGTAGAGCGGACCCGCGAGCGATTTCTACTATGGCAACGACTAAGCTTATGAATATTAATTAAAGTAGCAGTAGTCCAAATTGATTGGCTGAAAGGCAGACGTTGGTAGGCGGGCTCTAGTCATCTAGCCAATTAAAGTAATCCTGCGATTGAAGGCGTGGATCATGAATATTAATCGTGTAATGTGATCGTATTCTCCAGGAAGGTTTGATGAATGTGTGAAGCCTTCCCCATAGTAGGATTTTAAAATTAGCACATGTTCTGTCGAAATAGTTGTGTTAACCACTTGCTAATTGAAGTTGTTTCGTTTCCCTGTTAAACTGAAAATGTCATAAACAAGATGCCGAACAGAGGTTTTGTGCTCTTTTCAGCTAATTGTTCAATTATGCTTTCAAAGTTAGTAAGTACCATTATATTAATAATAAAGAAAGAAAAAAAAAACCAGCTCACGAGAAAAATAATCCTCCTGTAGTTTATTGTAATTGAACTGAAAATGAACTTTTCCTGTGCATATTAGTGAATGTGCATTCATGTCAATAAGACATGCTTGAATTTAATTGAAATGAAATTCAATTGAATGTAAGAGCATGTACGCCCCCTTGCGTCCCCCACACAGATTTTATTTATTTATTTATTATTAGTGAAAGTAGAGTTAGAGTGTTCTAGTATGAGCTACGTCCTCTAGAACATATTCAGGAGGTAATTAATTAACTTTATTACACGACTCTGTGGAATACTTGATTCTGATTGGTCAATCGCGCCATCCAGCGGTATGTTATTCCCAGATAACAACCGCCAAATTGAATAACACACCGCTCATCCGGGTACTACGAGTTATCTTGACCGGTACTACTTTTATGCTTAACGAGTCACTCCGCTATCGTTGACTGTCTGGCGCCATCTTGTGACTGAAAACACTTAACCACCGCGTGTTACAATGGAAGACTTCAGCATTAATTTCAACATATATGGTAAAAACAAATCTTTTTAGCCGTGTAATAAGCGGGATAATGTACATCCAGCCGGTTGTTATCTCAGAATAAACCCCGACAGGGTGATCATGGACATCCATTTTGTAGTGGTATCCAAAAGAAATTAAGTGCACTCATTCAATCCTATAATGCACTGCAATTATGAGTGTACAGTATAACCAATGCGCACTCATCAGCTACAAAAAGAAAGAAAGAAAGAAAGAAAGAAAGAAAAATGGTACAATGGGGCAGTACCATTTCAAAAGGTAATAGTATGTACGCTTTAGTTAATAATATGTTACTTTAAAGTACTGATTTTTAGGGCAAAATATGGTACAAAAGTGTACCTTTAAAAAGGCTACTGGCCCAGTGACAGAGTCAGTGGGTCATGCTTTTTTATTTTATTATTTTTCAGGAAGCACAAACTACACAAAAGAGGCAGCCTATCCAGCACACTCAATGTCCAAATTTGCTAACTCCTTTTTATTCCTTAAAGTGGACTATAATAGTGGACTAATGAAGGCAATAGTGAAAAGGGTAGGTTAACATGGGGTAAGATGACCAATAGATTGCACAAAATCTAATCTTAACACTTAATGAATGGCTTTGCTCTTAATTTTTGTGATTTCATCTGAATATCAACATATGTGAGATTTAGCCAGACAAAGCAGTTCTGAGGTTAATTGATCTAATTTTGTGTCTGGAAAATAATGATCTATGATGACAGTATTCACTGATGATTGTATTATGTTGAATATCAAACATTTTCGTGTCTGTTTTAGACACAAACATGTGCATTTCAGACATCTTCAGACAATCATTGAATTCAAATCTATAGGATGAGTTAAATCATTTAATTTGAATAATATTGCTATTATGACACATTTTAAAATAAGGCCAATTACATAGGTATATGTTCATAAATGTATTTTTCAGATGAATCTCTTTTACTGGGATTCTGCTTTACTACTGGAGGCCTCTTTGAGTAATATTATAGATTGTGCTGTTATTAGCAAAATAAGCAATTTACTAAATTAGCAAATGTTTCTATTTATTTCCCTTAATTTCCCTCTGGCCCCCTCCCTGCTTACTGTGAAAACAGTCGGCTTTGTATCTCATCACCATTCAATGGCTGGATGTCAAGTGGTGCCGGCAGAATAACATAGATTTCATAGACAATTGGATGAGTTTTTGGGGCAGTCCTGACCTGTAGAAAATAAATTATATGATCACAGATCATAACCTAGATGTGCTCTGTTTGACAGAAACCTGGCTAAAACCAGATGATTACTTTACTTTAAATGAGTCTACCGATTACTGTTATAAACATGAGCCGCGTCCAAAAGGTAAAGGTGTTGCTACAATTTATAGTAATATTTTCAGTATTTCTCAGAGGTCTGATTTCAAGTATAATTCATTTGAAGTAATGGTGCTTTATGTAACATTGTCTACTGCAACAAGTGTTAATGATAAATCCCTATTGACATTTGTATGGCTTCTGTATACAGGCCACCAGGGCACCGGAGCAGAGTTAGTGCTTATAAAATCTTAAAGGTGCACTAAGCAATTTTTGCCAAACGATGTTGATATTTGAAAGCACCAAAACAAACCCATACCCCAACAGGATGAGCTAATGTATGAAATATTTATTAACGTTGTGGCATGAAGCAGAGTGAGGCGGACACACGGCTCGAAAGCAGCGGAGCTTTTATTAAATTTGCTAACTCCTTTTTATTCCTTAAAGTGGACTATAATAGTGGACTAATGAAGGCAATAGTGAAAAGGGTAGGTTAACATGGGGTAAGATGACCAATAGATTGCACAAAATCTAATCTTAACACTTAATGAATGGCTTTGCTCTTAATTTTTGTGATTTCATCTGAATATCAACATATGTGAGATTTAGCCAGACAAAGCAGTTCTGAGGTTAATTGATCTAATTTTGTGTCTGGAAAATAATGATCTATGATGACAGTATTCACTGATGATTGTATTATGTTGAATATCAAACATTTTCGTGTCTGTTTTAGACACAAACATGTGCATTTCAGACATCTTCAGACAATCATTGAATTCAAATCTATAGGATGAGTTAAATCATTTAATTTGAATAATATTGCTATTATGACACATTTTAAAATAAGGCCAATTACATAGGTATATGTTCATAAATGTATTTTTCAGATGAATCTCTTTTACTGGGATTCTGCTTTACTACTGGAGGCCTCTTTGAGTAATATTATAGATTGTGCTGTTATTAGCAAAATAAGCAATTTACTAAATTAGCAAATGTTTCTATTTATTTCCCTTAATTTCCCTCTGGCCCCCTCCCTGCTTACTGTGAAAACAGTCGGCTTTGTATCTCATCACCATTCAATGGCTGGATGTCAAGTGGTGCCGGCAGAATAACATAGATTTCATAGACAATTGGATGAGTTTTTGGGGCAGACCTGACCTGTTGAAAATAAATTATATGATCACAGATCATAACCTAGATGTGCTCTGTTTGACAGAAACCTGGCTAAAACCAGATGATTACTTTACTTTAAATGAGTCTACCGATTACTGTTATAAACATGAGCCGCGTCCAAAAGGTAAAGGTGTTGCTACAATTTATAGTAATATTTTCAGTATTTCTCAGAGGTCTGATTTCAAGTATAATTCATTTGAAGTAATGGTGCTTTATGTAACATTGTCTACTGCAACAAGTGTTAATGATAAATCCCTATTGACATTTGTATGGCTTCTGTATACAGGCCACCAGGGCACCGGAGCAGAGTTAGTGCTTATAAAATCTTAAAGGTGCACTAAGCAATTTTTGCCAAACGATGTTGATATTTGAAAGCACCAAAACAAACCCATACCCCAACAGGATGAGCTAATGTATGAAATATTTATTAACGTTGTGGCATGAAGCAGAGTGAGGCGGACACACGGCTCGAAAGCAGCGGAGCTTTTATTATGCCACAGTCTACCGCTTCCGCTCCTTCCGGAAAGCAACGGAAGTAAGCAGCGCTGTTTTATCATACTAGATACATTTGAACATTCTGTTATAACGCTACTCTGTGCGCTCGTCACCTTGTGCCTTTAAATCTCTGCTGCCAAGATACTCCTCTGTCGTCACGGATTATGGAAAGTGAAACTTAAATCTATAGGGGTGGTTGGATTTATTCACGCACGTTAAAATATTTATTTAAAGCTTCTTTGTTTTCAGATTCTTATTTACAGCATTATCTTAATAGGCTGTATATTAACTTTGGGAGAAAAGAAAACCGGTAGTTTTATGTGAAATCAGACATTTGAGCACCCCCATATAGCCAAAATGGCATGATCATAACACAACGTGAATATTCGACTGTGAGATTGGTAGTCGAATCAGGCTCCTCCTATCGAAGCATCTAATCTTCGACTATTCGGGGTCACCCCTAGACAAATCTAACTCTTATTTTCCTCAAGCCGAGTAAAAGTGATGATCTGCACATGAAACACCATCCAAGAAACATCTGTAGATGTAACAAACAGAAACAGGTCACAGGTTCCACAGGTTCTACTTAAGCAAATGTATTTAAATCAATAAATATTTATTTAATAATGAATCTAATGGTTTGCTGTATGTGGATGTTTGGGTTTTCAAATCTAGTGTGAAATCCCTACGTTTTGCTAACACTTCATTTGATGTGTTACCAGAATGACTTTACTGCTAGTTCTTTGCAGTGTTGTAAAGTGAAACTGTTGAGTTTGGTAGTGTGGGCTGGAAAGGTTTCGGTGTCATCATTTTCTAGCATTGAGCTGCAGATTTAACAGTTAGAAAGTTCAAAGATTATTATGGTTGCATTTGTGGTTTGGCTGCCATGCAAAATGGAGTTTTGATACAGCTCATGACACTTCCTGTGGGGGCAATGATAGCAGTCGTGGTCTTGTGCAGCCTTGCAGTTAATGTATGAGAAGTGATGATATTTCAGATGACTGGTAAAGCTTTTGTAGTTTTCGTGTTTATAAATAATTTAAATATTTGCACAGGAAATTGGATTAAACCAGGTCAGTTCATAAACTGACTGAAATGAATGAATACTGTTTAATATTTACATTTAATCATTTAGCAGACACTTTTATCCAAAGTGACTTACAAATGAGGACAATAGAAGAAATCAAACCAACAAAAAAGCAACAATATAAGTGCTGTGACAATATGGCAAGTATATGTAGCAAGGTCTTTTTTTCTTTTTGTTTCTTCTAGAAAATAGAATAGAGAGAGCTAGTGTTTGAAGGTCAAGTTATTATTGTTTTTTTATAATAAATAAAAAGAAAACATGTAGATACAATAGAACAAGAATAGAGAATGCAAGTGTTAGAGGGTCAAGATGTTTTTTTTATAATAAATAAAAGAAAACAAGTAGATATAACAGAAACAGAATAGAGAGTGCTAGTGTTAGAGGGTCAGGTTTTTTTATATATAATAAAAGAAAAGTTAATAGCGTAGAAATAGAATAGAGAGTGTTAAGGGGTTAAGTGTTTTCAATAAATAAATATGTTTATTTTTAAATTACATTTTTAAATGTATTTTGTAATAAATAAAAAAAGAAAAAAGTAGATAGAATAGAAATGGAACATAGAGTGTAAGTATTAGAGGGTCAAATATATATCCTACAACATATTGTAAATAAGAAAAAGTGTTTGTTTTAGTCTGTTCTCTTTACTGGAAGTAGGCCTATATTGAAAGTATAGATTAAAGCACATAGACTCAAACATTTATTTGGAAGTCATTTTGTACTTTTTTTTTTTGACCTTCCATGAGAAAATAATAATGGTAGTTGCATACTGATTGTTTATACATCACCTGTGCACAACAGGCAGATTTTTTCTTTTTTCTTCTTTTCTTTTTTTTTTTTTAAATATACCCATGACTTTTTAAATGGGTTATTTATTTACTTACTTACTTACCTACTTGCTTGCTTGCTTACTTACTTACTTACTTACTTACCATGACAGTTGCATTATAATAGCACATTTTAAAAACTATAAACATAAAAAATAATCTTAAAAAAAACAAAAAAAAACTTGTTTTTGTATTTGTACAGAATGTAAAAAGCACAATCCAGTTCAAACCAAATGACCCCGCAAGGTTTTTCTCATCAGTTTGCTATTTGAAATGTTAACCAGCTGGGCTTTCACATGTGATAGTGATGAATTTATCACATAGTTGTCTCTTGACTCTACATAACCTTCTTATTAATAATCATACACAAAACATAATTTAATATACACACTAATATACAGTATACTAGGATACACTAGACATGAAAAATATAAGATGGGTTTACAAAGAGCTAAGTGCAAACTTTTAATAGAAAATATATTGCATAAAGTCTCTGTCACAGTTGTATAGTGCACTACAAAAGCACACACCACCAGTTACTCAGTGTCTAGCCTCGTCAAGACCAACATCACTTACCCGTGCTACTCACCTGAGAAGCCTGTGTACTTACCTGATGTCCAGTGTCTTATCTCCTGCGATCTCCTATGACACTTTTCCAGCAATCTTCAGTGTTTCCTAAGTATCTCCTCGTCTCGTCTTCCTCCCAGTGTGTGCTGCTCTGCCTGTGAAAGACATTGTCAATTATTACCATCTACCATCCTTCGTTTATATTATCACTGCATGCCACAACTCACTAACCTGAATTTTTTTTTTGTTTCTGTCAATAAATACCTTCATTGGGTTCAATACTTCTGTCTCCTCTCGTCTAGTATCCCCAGACAGAAAGCTAGACCATACCTCCATAAACTCTGTAGGCACAGCATCTCCAGATCCATTTTAAGAATTTGTGTCCACCAGGGATCTCCAACCCTGCTCCTGGAGAGCTACTGTTCTGCAGACTTCAGATCCAACCCTGCTCCAACATACCTGTCTATAATTATCAGGTAACCCTAAACACCTTGATTAGCTGGTTCAGATGTGTTTAATTGAGGTTGGAGCTGAAATGTTCTAGTCCCAAGGTCAATCCAGGACCCTACTCTGGCTCGGTGCTCGCTTGCCCTTGAGACGCAACTGCATTGTTTTCTCACTGAGTGTAGCCTGGTGTGGATATCGTCCTCTGACAACAGCAGGGCAATCCCTCCTCCGTCCATTCGCCTTCTTTTCCAAAAATCTTACCCTGGCAGAGCAAAATTATGACAATGGCAACAGAGGTCTTTTGGCAGCCAAACTGACTCTACACTCTAAAAAAAATGCTTGGTTAAAAACGGACAAACCCAGCTATAAATTTTCTATGATTTAGTAAATCCTGTTATTACACTCTATTACTAACTAATACTAGTGAACACCAATTGTTTTAATTGGACAAACCCAGCTATTGGGTTTTTTTGACCCAGCAGTTGGGTTGTTTTGAACCCAACCGCTGGGTCAAAACAACCCAATAAGCTGGGTTTGTCAGTTTTTAACCCAGCATTTTTTAGAGTGTAGAAGAGTGGTGGCCCTGGCTGGAGGGGGCCCATCATCAAGTCCTCATTCTAACAGATCATCATAACATGTAATAAGCATCAGTGCTTCTATGCACGACAGGCAAGATGGGCCCTTTTCTTCATGCGATTCCAGTTCACCTTCCCCTCTCATCCAGGTACCAAGAATGTGACAGCAGACACCCTCTCCCATCTCTGTTCACCTGAGGAAAATGCTGAAGAAGCCGAAACCATCATTCTCCCTGAGCTTGTGGTCCAGTGGACCCTGGATGATAGAATCGCTGAAGCCACCGCCATTGAGTCAGCTCCGCTGGGCTGCCCCATTAACTGCACATATATTCCTGTCTCCCAAAGAATCTCCTTCATTGAGTCCACACAGTTCTCCGTGGGCACTTCCCACTCAGGGTCCAATCAAACCCTCTCACTCCTCCAGAATCAGTTCTGGTGGACCCAGATGGCAAGATTTCATCCAAGGATCTGGTATGGAAGAGCAACTCAAAGATTGCAGATGGAGCTGTACAAGGCGCAGCTACATATGTGTTTAAACGACTTTAGTTGAAACCTGAGATCTATAAGACTGTTTATGGCAAAGTTATTGTAAAGGATGAGCTTCTTAATCTTCTTGCAGAAAAAAAATAAGACATTAAGCCAGGACAAGATTGTTCTGTTGACCGTTTGATTCTGATAGGATTGAATCCTCAAAGAAAGTGTTGTTTGAACTCTAATCTATTACACATTGGAATGTTTCCCATAAAAGGCCACAGAATGATGTGGCCTGCAGTCTTTTGTTGGCACTGGAGCTATGGGTAATATCAAAATGGTTAAGAACGAGTTGGTGAGTGTTTTTGCTTACAAGTTTACACCTGATCTAGAATTGGAACTTTGTCCGAGTATCTGAAAGAACAAACTTGGTTGTGAGGTTATTTGTCAGAAGATTGGTACTGTATACATCTGATAAAAGTAATGTGGTTAAAAAGAGATGATCTGTACATGAAACATCATCCAAGAAACATCTGTAGATGTAACAAACAAAATCAGGTCACATGTTCTACTTCAGCAAATTTATTTAAATAATAAATATTTATGTAATTAATCTAATGGTTTGCTATATGTGGATGTTTGGGTTTTCAAATCTAGTGTAAAATTCCTATGTTTTGTGTAACACTTCATTTGATGCGTTACCAGAATGACTTTGCTGCTAGTTCTTTGCAGTGTTTTAAGTGAAACTGGGGCATTTGGTAGCATGGGCTGGAAAGGTTTCAGTAAGTGAAATGTACAACCTGGAGCTCTGGCCAGAAGGGGCATTTGTCAGACACTATTACGAGCCATGCAGGGTGGGAGTTATTGGGTCTAATACTGCACCTGCTTTTGGGGGAATGAGTGTGCCTCTTGGAAGTGTGAAGACTCATTAGTGGAGTTCTGTGTAGTTTGGGTTTTGTCATACAATTGTCATGGATCGTGCGTGGGCCAGAGTGCAGGGGATGAAGCCCGACACATTATTGTTGATAATCTCCTGGAGAAGTGTGATATGTTCTGTTTGCACGAGACTTTTTTAGCAAAGCAATATTTATTGGTTGGTAAGTAAGGAAGGAAGTAGGTAAGTAAATAAATAAATACATCTTTTAATGATACTTTTCATGTGGGTTGGTGAGTCCACAACAAATATTAGCATGGGGAATACTTTGTGGCCTGGTTAGTGGTAGGATAAATGAGGGTGTGGTTATCCTGTGGAATAAGAAGCTTGACTTATTAGTAAATGTGGTTAGAGTTGGTGTCAACTGGTGTATTGCAATACAGTTTACTTAAAAGGACAAGGAATTTGTTATGCTAAATGTGCATATACCTTATGAATGGCATCATAATGAGGATGAACATTTAAATAGGCTTGCCATTATTATTATTATTATTATTTTATTTATTGAAAGTAATACTACCCGTTGTGTATATGTCACTGAGGATATGAATGCGGGCATTTCAGATAGAAATTCACTATTTGATAATCATATTGCTGAGTTTCGTCTAGACAATAATCTCATATTGTCAAGTAAAATGCTTTTGCCTGTAGCTAGTTGTATTTATACCCCCCCCCCCCTTCATGTCTGTTTTACTGGTTTTATGATTTATGGTTTGTTACCAGACCCAATGCTGTCTGTTTTGTTTTTCCCAAGTTATTAAGGACAAAGCTGGTATGATAGTTAGTACAAATAATTATAGGCCCATAGCTTTTGTCAGTTTTCTGTCAAAAGTATTAGAAATTATTGCTGAATAGGATAAATGAGTTCATTAATTCTGCAGATAACTAGTTTGGTTTTAAAGCTAAACATGACAGTGACCTGTGTACATATGCATTACAGGAAATGGTAACTCATCAGCTCTGTGTATGGCTTGTGTTATGATCTGTAGAACTAAAGAGAATAAATGTCAAAATAACAACAATCTTATAGAAGAGTCTGATAAGAATCTTACTGTGTGTGAAAGTGAAATATCTTGGACATTTTATTACTAAGCACATGACAGAAGATGAGGACACTGAAAGGCAAACTTTTATGATCAAATTTATGTTTTTGTTTTGGTTCTTTTAAGGTTGTTTAGGTTGTTACAAATCAAAGAACTCTAAAGCAGAGGTCTTCATCCATTCTCCTGGAGACCCACTGTCCTGCAGAGTTTAGTTCCAATCCTAGTGGTTCTCCAGGAGTAGGGTTGAAGTATATATTCCTCAAGCCTCAACTGTGCAGTGTTGGGGGTAAAAACTAGGTGATGGTCACCAGTTTTCATTTTAGGCAACCAGATATTTCCTGTGCTCTGAGAATGGAAGTGAGTTTTGCTTTTCTATCAGCTTGGTTCATCTAGCACTCCTCTGCATTTCTACTGAGGTTAGCAGTCATGTCTACCACAGCAACCAGGGTCCAACGTCACATGCGAGCAGAGTTTCCTGCATAGGTACTGGAGTTTCTGAACCGGCATGCATCTAGTCACTTGCTCAAGCACAAGCAAACCAGCTACACAGGTAAGAGTGTTATTCTTTTCTTGGGATCTTAGCATTTGTTCAAAAGCAATTCAACAAGTTGTAGAAATACTTACAGTAGATCAAGTAAGAACCTGTCATAATACAGACCATTTTTAAACCTTTTCCTCACATGCCTCATTAGGAACACCGAAAATCACTGTATGTCAAGACTTTGAGGAGCAGTCAGCAAGTGTACACCGATTTTCGACCGTCACAATGATGCAGGAAGACAATTTAACCACCAATGTGTCCTGTCAGATTCATGATGGCATATTGTCACCATTCTTGCCCATTGGCTACATTATCATCTGTTGCATTGGTCTGCTCTGTAACACTGTCACGCTCTACATATTTTTCCTTCGGCGACAGACAGACTCTTCCATGACCGTGTACATGCGGCACCTTGCCCTAGCGGACACCCTCCTGGTCATGTGCTTGCCCCTGCGAGTTTACTACCACAACAAAAAAGGTCCCTTCTACTTGTGCAAGGTGGTGGGCATCTTCTTCTACATCAACATGTATTCCAGCATCCTGTTTCTCAGCCTCATCAGTCTTGATCGCTACTTGAAAATCATCAAGCCCGTTTGGGTCTTTCGAATACAGAAGACAAAGTGGAGCCACATGGCAAGCTACATCGTCTGGGTGATCCTCATCTCAGGAGTGATTCCCTTTTTTATAAGCAACAGTCAAAAACATCCGTGTGACCAGGTTTGCTTCCACTTCCACAGCAAGGGGCCTGTCGGTGGGACCATTAACCTGACTACAGTGGTGCTCTTCCTTGTTTTTTATGTAGCCTTTCTTTGTTTTTATGTGAAGATCACTAAGAAACTCAAGACTATGTCCATGGGTAATGGTGACCCTAAGGCACAGAGTCACAAAAAAAGGGTAATCATGAAGATTTTCTTAGTACCGGCCATTTTTACTTTGTGTTTCTTGCCCTACCATGCGATACGAATACCGTACGTTCTGGCTCAGATGAATGTGATCGGAGATCTTCAAAGCCAACGATTGTTGCACATCTTAAATGAGAGTACCTTGCAATTGTCTGCTCTAAATAGCTGCCTTGACCCAATTATCTATTACTTCTTATCCAGTGCATACCAGAAAACAATACTGTGTGTCACTCAGGGCAAGTTTAAAAACATGTATGCTTTAAACAGAAGGAGAATCAGCATAAACCGCTCACTCACTGAAATTTAGCATTAATGGATGACTTTTCCATTTGTGACTCGTGATGTCTACATGAATCAATTTTTTAAATTCAACAAATTGAAAATATTTAGTTTTAAATTATGTTTACTGTTGGTCACAGCTTGGGCACAGGTGACTGAATTCATGTTTCATATGATCATAAGAAATAATATCTATATTTACATAAATATAAAGTATATATGTGCGTGTATGACGGTTCTAACATTTTTGTAATAATAATAATAATAATAATAATAAATAAGAAGGTGTGCCCAATCCTCTGACTAGCAGTTTATTTAAGCATGTCTTGTTTTTCTATAGATGCTGAATATGTAGTTGTAGCATTTTCTCTAGAGCAGTGGTTCTCAGATTGTTTTTCTTTGATGTACATTTTGTGGTGGTGCCCAGAAACAATATCAAAATGGTTTATCCAAAATCAAACATGGATATATATCAGTATGAAATTGTACAGGCCCAACAAAATGTATATTAACATAATTTAGGCTAAACAGGAAATTAAGCTTTTGGTTTCTAAATGTGTGTTTTTTTTTTTTGTTTTTTTTTTTTAAATGTGTGTTATAAGTTTTCTGCAGCCACAAATAAAAATTTTTTTTTTAAACAATATATTGGATGCACAGCTATTGACTTTAACATCAAGATATGGGAAGCATTGATTTATATCTGAACTATACAATATTATATTTGCTTTGTAGTTTAACTCTCTCTCTCTCGCGCGCTCTCTCTCTCTCTCTCTCTCTATACAGTTTGCATTTAGCATTGTATTTTCTCTGCTGTCTGTGACCCAGAAATGACGTGCAACCAACTATTTGAGAACCACTGAGCTAGAGTTTCTGAGTGTACATTTGTGGATAGACTTTTTAGTTTTCCTTCGTTACTTTATTTAACTGAAAGAAAGTCCTGTATTTATGATAGTTTAATATGTGTAATGAGAAAATGAGCTTTGTAAATGTTATGGATTTCTTTGTTTGTAATAGTTCCCATGTGGTTGGTATGGGTGCTGTTGTGTTATGAGTCAAACCCATGTTTTTGGTGGTAGATTCTGTATAAGTGTTAGCCACATGAAACTTTTTTCTAAATGTGAGAGAAATGTGGGAAAGTACTAAAAATAAAAAATACAAATATTTGCACTTTTTTTTATTATTTATTTATTTAAACAATTTAAACTTTTTTTTTTATTTGATTTTGTTGATAACTGAAACCTGAACAAGATTACAAATACAAATAGTAAATAAAATTGTTTATATTTTTGTTAAATGCATAACTGCCTTCATGCTTTACTTCATGCCCTTTATAAACTCTTTATGCACATATTCATACATGCCTGTAATCTGGCTTAAATATTTATAATTAATTATAACTAGTTATGATTAATTATTCATATTTCCCCATGAATGAGCTGATTCGCTACACCATTATTGTAACAGAGCATGGAAATAAAATACATTTTATTTAAATAAAATATCTCAATGTACCTCAGTGTATTGATTGTTGCAAAAACTGCAGTTCTCAGCTGATATCTTAGATAGGTTTAGTGAGCTTGACATGATGCTCAAAACTGCTGTGTGGGGTTGTTGTTGTCATTTGGTTCTGATCAACGGATTGGAGAGAGCATTGATGAAGTGATGAGAAGTTTTTTTTCCTTTTTTTTTCTGCAGCATGTGGGTGACTTGCAGGATCTTGATTGTGACTTTATGAGTTTCAAGTGCAGATCATTTTCCACTTACACTCCATTTTGCATTTAATACATGCTTACACACAGACACACACACACACACACACACACACACAGGTTTCCATTTTTATGGTAACATTCCGTAGACGTAATGGTTTTTCTACTGTCCAAACTGTATTTTCTATCCCCTTAACCTAACCCTACACACAACTTTCTGCATTTTTAGATTTTCAAAAGACTTAATTATATGTGATGTATAAGCTTTTTTCCTCATAGGGACCAAAAAATGTCCCCACAAGGTCAAAATTTACTGGTTATGTGGATGAGAATGATGATGGCAGAATTTTCAGATGAACAAATTATCTGTGAAAGATGTGATTTTCTCCTGTTACATGCTTGATATTTTTGGGGATGTTTTGTAACATTTAAGTGAGACAACTGGCACTGGGGCAAACCATAAAAGGAAATTACCAGGAAACAGGCAATCACGTTCAGTACAAGCTCAATTTATTTTGAGAGGTGCAGATTAACAATCATTAAAGAGAATAATTTATAAGATAAATTATGGGAAAAGGGAGAAAACTGATTGATGCCAAAAAAATAAAAAATAATCAAAAGCAAAACAACCCCGATAACTGAACCCCAACCCAACTAATTTAACTATCAAACAGAAAATGTAGAAATAAAACTGCAAACTTCAGCGTATCCAACGCCCAACATAAACTATCCTAATTAATAACAAAAGTACATAAGTGGGCTCTCACTCCTAACCTAGAATTAACAAGAAAATAACAAAATTTAAATACAAAAACTTACCAATCTCCTTTTCCCGAAATTACTCTAACAGGTCTCGCGTGACAAAAGCCACATTGGTCTATGTTAGCTGATCTCAGTGTTAACTTCGCACTGCATGCCAAACCAGTAAAGCACTAATCATTCAACAACAGGCGTTTCCAAGTTCTAGCGAACAATGACAGGTTTGGTGAACCTAACCACAGAGCTTGAAAGCCTCAACAAACTAACGAGTAAATAACAAGTCAACTGAACAATTCAAAAGAACTAATAAACTTAACACAATACACACAACTCAAATAAACAGAGAAAAATAAACACGGCTGGCAAAAATGGACAGTCGCCCGCTGTCTGGAAAGCAGGATGGCTGACAACAGCACACAAAGCCCGGCCCCCTTTTAAATGGGTAGGTCCATCCTGATTGGTCAGCTGGTGAACTGAACAGCCAATAGACAAAACCTACGAATTTAGAGCAAAAACAGCAAGAGAGGAAAAGGGGGAAAAAAAACAGGGAGCAAACAAAAATACAAAACATACGGGGAACGTAACATTTCCCAAAGTTAATATACAGCCTATTAAGATAATGCTGTATTGACAGTAAAATATCGCCAAACTACATATTCCATGCTTTTGTTTTCTTCATTGTAAGACGGCAGAGAGTGACGCAACTGGAAACTGTATCCATGTAATTATGCATAATTAATTGTTATTATAATAGTAAGTACATGTAATGTGTAACAAGGACACCTCAAAATAAAGTGTTACCGAACTCTTTATGAGTTGATTGCTTCCACCTGTTACTGGTTTGTTTGTCAAGGTTTGCCTATATAAGCTCTGTTTTTCATCTTAATCTTTGTGAAGTCTCGCCTATGTTAACACTTCTTTTCTAAGTTCTAGTATCCTGGTTTCCTGGATTCTCGTGGACTATTGTGAATAAAAGGCTGCATCTGGACCACTTAAGTCTCAAACCAGTGATTCATAACTGAAGACTTCACCATCTTAGATCCAGCAGCTCCTTTAGAGATAAAGCCATCATGGACCTGGTTGACTGAGTTATGGATCCAGCAACCTGTCTCATTCGGCTCCATCAAGGAAACTGTACCCTCGAGGACCACACCAGAGACTTTTTAGATATTGCATATCTTACAGACTTCCCAGATTTCACCCTCATTGATTTCTATTGTCATGGACTGGATTATTTCAAAGACACTCTAATCTGCAATGGACCTCGGAGGTCACTCAATACATTTTTGGACTATGCATTGCTGTTGAGTGGTTCCCCCTTTATGGTGGCCAAGGAGCTTGATCGACTATGAACTCCAGCATGCCCTACACTGAGAGTCGTGAGCCCAGTGTTGGTAGCGTCTTCCACTAAAGTCTTATGGTGCTTTTCCACTGCATGGTACGGCACGGTACGGCTCGGTACGGTTCACTTTTGGGGGGTTTTCCACTGGGTACAGTACCTGGTACCTGGTACTTTTTTTAGTACCACTTCGGTTGGGGTTCCAAGTGAACCGTACCGTTACCAAAACGTGACGTGTAAACTCTGCTGATCACGGATTGGCCGGAGAGAATCGTCACTACCTGCGTCACTGAACTTGCGACACAAACACAAAAGAACCGCTAGATTTAAATCAACACAGCCAGCGAAGGATCGAACGCAACTGTTTTGAACTAGCGCACCTTTTTTAACAACCAAAAAGTTTTGTTGTCTGTTGCGGAAGAACAGACGTTCCTCTCGTTGATAGCAGAGGAGCGGATCCAGCGAGAGCTTGATGGGGCGATGCGGAATGAAAAAGTTTTTTTCAGGAGTCGCGGCAGTAGAGGCGGCGCAACTATAACGACATGTGAATAATCCCGCCCACTCTAAAGCGGTACTGAACTGCAGTGGAAACGCAAACCGAGCCGAGCCGAACCGTGCCGTACCAAGCCGAGTCGTACCACGCAGTGGAAAAGCGCCATTAGAGGAGGCTAATGTGTGTCTTTCAGGAGTGTTGACCCTGGCAGAGCTTTATAAGGCCCTGCAAAGCATAGAGTCTGGGGGGCACCAGGTGTGGATAGCCTCCCTGTTGACTTCTATAAGGCTTTTTGGTTGGAGTTCGGAGGGGATTTGCTCGAGGTACTCAATGGCAGCTTGTCAGAAGGCAGGTTGCCTTTGAGATGCCGGGGAGCGGTAATCACTCTCATTCTAAAAAAAGGGACCTTACTGATTATAACAAAGTTCGTAGATCGGGAAGAAGGAGGTGGGAACCGGCAAACATTTAAACATAACACTTTAATAAATAAATAAACACAAAACTAAAGTAAAAGCGGCAGCCCCTCACGGACGACTGCCGCATAAAACATAACAACATAAGGCCTGGTCCTCTCTCGTCCAAAGTTTTGGCTAATAGATTGGCTGGGATGTTGGAGCAAGTCATCCATCTGGACCAGATATATTGTGTCCCAGTAGATCTATTTTTGATAATGTTTCTTTAATTCAAGATATTTTTCATGTGTCTAAATTGCTAAATTTAGGTTGTGACTTGT